CCCTCACAAGAATTTGAAAATTATTCGAGAGCCATATATATTTTTTTACAAACCAGGGTCTGAAGAATAGCCTTAAATTTTTTCTCCCAATTTTCAATTTCAAATGTTCACTTCTCAGAGCCACATGTGTGTCCTGAGACAGCTACAGGAGGCTCTACAGCCATAGTTTGCCCACCCCTGGGGTAGAGGTTTGGCAGGTGTTAATTTGCTCGAAGGGGAAGGCAGTGATCCACAAACGGGAGACCTCAAGGAAGCGGGTGGGTAATCTATTGGGGGTGGGTGAGTTGATTAGTAGTTTAAACTGTGGAGGACAAAAGTTGATGGTCTGAAATGTAAATCCCCACCCATTTCACAATTTTTAAATTTGTTAACATAAATAAGCCCCCCCCCCTAGTTAGACTGTCATCCCTGACTGGGCGAGGAGCCTGGTGATGCAGTGAGCTCCGCATGCCTTGGGCTAGAATCACCAAGTCAGCCATGGGAACCCACCAACCACGCTGTGGGAGAAAAGCGAGGCTTTCTGCCCCCATGAAGATTTATTTACAGGCGACAGTAAACCATCTTACAAGACTGGTTCTGCTTTGTCTACAGCAGTGGTTCTTAGCCTTCCTCATGCCGCGACCCTTTCATACAGTTCCTCATGTGGTGGTGACTGCCCAACCATAAATTATTATTTTTTTCCATAAGATTATTTTCGTTGCTCCTTCATAACTGTAATTTTGCTACAGTTATGAATCAGGTGACCCCTGTGAAAGGGTAGTCGGACCCCCCAAAGGGTCTAGACCCACAGGTTGAGAACTGCTGGTCTATGGGATCACAGAGTCAGACGGACTTGAAGGCAGAGGATTTGTTTTCATTGAAGGCCTACCGAGCCAGGCGTTGCACTAGACATTGGGCTGGACCACAGGGAATACAGGGAGAGGAGGACGGGGGCTGGGTAGTCCCTTATTCACCATCAGTGAGTTGGAGTCTGAGGACCAAGGGGAAACGTGTCTGCTAGGCCACTGTCACCTCCCCCCACCATGGTCAGCCAGTCCCTCTCACCTGGCATGAGGCCCCTGGGTGGGGCTGAAAGCCCAGGCTGTTTCCTGGGCCACATCCAAGCCAGACTCCACCCCTGCTGCCTAGCTGGGTGGAACAGAATGTGGCCCAGCTCCTGGCTAAATGCTGCCCTGTGGACTTTGGGAGATTTTTTAAAAAGCCACTGGGTGACACTTAGCCAAGGTTCCAGGCAGGTTTTAGTAAATATGTAGAAAATAAATGTCTTTCCCTCTGCAAGTAGCTCTTTTTTACCATTCAACAGTGAGTAGTTACTGAGGAATTTCTGGAACTTTGAATATGTTCCTAGATTAGGAATGGCCATGAGGCGGCTCTGCCCTGGCTTCCCACTCACTTGCTCAATGAACCTTTGTCTCAGCTCTTCAGGGCCAGTGGCTGGGGGCTCAGGCCCTTTTCTTTCCAGAACGGAGGCGAACTTTTGGCTCCTTTACCTGTGACCCCACACCCAGGATCTCCGCCTTCCATGTACACACAGAGATGTTTGTGGGAGAGCCATTTGTGACACCAACAAATGGCCAGCAAGGTACAGTGGCCTCTACGATGAAGCAGCTGTTCAAAGGATGAGGTCTGTGTGTCTTAAGTCACGGGGGGGGGGACCCCCAAGGGTCGAGTCAATGGAGGGGGGTTGGGGGAAGCAAGCGGCAGGAAACAGAAAGCATGTGAACACACAGGTATGTATGTCACTGCAAGGTTCGGGGTCTGGACAGACACCTGAGGGTGTCCACTCTGCTTTCCCCGGGAAGGAGGGCCCTGCAAGGGGCTAAACGGGGATGCCTGAGGGGGCTTCCAAAAATTCCAGAGGCAGTTCCAGTATCTTGTGATTGTTTGTCTACCACTTCTTAAAGCCCCCTCGTATTTGGGTTGTTTTCACTTTTTTTTTTTTTAAACATCAAATAGACATTTAATGACATTAAAGGATTTATTGCCAAACTATTTTGAGGGTGATAGGAGCTGAGCTTACCTTATCTTTGATACATTTTGAATCATTCCTAGAACAAATGAAAAGAGGTGGTGAAGTGTCTGTTATCACAGAAGGCTCTGGAATAGACCATCCTCTGCCTTTCATACTTCTCTGAGGGCTGTTGTGTGTCCAAGTTCTTCCTGATTCAAAATCCAAAAAGGGGATTTGGCAAGGTCTGACTCCACCCCTCTTCCAGGAGTCTCAGCCTGAATCTTCTTCTTGGCTCCTCCCATCATTTGGAGAGCGTCAGATTGACCTATTCTCCATCCAAAGGGGTTGGGGTGGAAACGCCAGAAGCAGACGCGGTCCAGGTTGGGGAAATGCCTTGAGCATGTGCTCCCACGCCGCATCAGCCATGTTTGTGTTTGCACTTGATATTGCTCGGCTGATGCTCATTCCCTTGCGCCTTGCCCGGGGGCTGGCTGCAGAATGGGGAGGCCCCAGCAGTGCCTTCGACCTGGCAGCGAGGCCGCGCAGGGACCCCAAAGACCTGGTCAAGGCAGCTGTGTCCAGCGATAGGTCGCGCCTTCCAAGTCTCCAGTGATTCCTGGTTGTTTCGCTCTTAAGAGCTATTTCTGCAGTCTTATCGCAAGTTCGTGGGATCACTGGTGGCTTGCATACCTTTTTAAACGGTGCTGACTCATAGAGATCCTATCCTCTAGGACAGAACTGCCCCTGTGGGTTTCCGAGACTGTAACTCTTTATATAATCATAAAACACTGTGTAGTATTACAAACAGGGAAATCTGTATGCCAACATAGTACAAGCGCTCCAAGGCGTATCAAGTGGCAAAGCAGAAGGGTATGTGGGTATAGTAGCAGCCCATCTGAGCACTATGTGTGGATGTCAGCGGTTCTCAACCTGTGGGTCGCGACCCCTTTGGGAGTTGAAGGACCCTTTCACAGAGGTCGCCCGATTCATCACAGTACCAAAATGACAGCGATGAAGTGGCAACGAAAATAATGTTCTGGTTGGGGGGGGTCACCACCACATGAGGAACTGTATGACAGGGTGGCGGCATGAGGAAGGCTGAGAAGCACTGGTGTATGTGGAGCTCGGAGGGCGTAATGCTTACATGTGGAGCTGCTAACCACAAGGTCAGCAATTTGAAATCACCAGCCGCTCGGGGAGAAAGACGAAGCTTTCTACTCCCATCAGAGTGACAATCCTGAAAACCCACTGGGGCAGTTCTATCCTGTCCTATAGGGTCAACTCTGAGTTGGCATCGATTTGTTGGTAGTGAGGTTTGGGGATGTGTTTGGGTGGAAACGGACCTACCTATAAACCCACCTGTTGTAATGTGAGCACTTGCTGGAAGCTGTGCTCTGTGTTTCAAATACCAGCAGGGTCCACCAGGATGGACGGGCATCCGCGGAGCTTCTGAAGTCAGGAAGGCAAGCTACCTCAAGTCCGCCAGCTGGGACTGGTAGGGGTCTCAACTGAGCATGGTTCTGCTCAATTGCTCTGGCCAGGCCAGCAGCTGGGATCACTCACTAGAGGAGGGCATTACATTTGGTGACGTGAAGGGCCAAGAGTGTATGGAAACTGTCCCTTGATGAGGTGGACTCCAGCATGCTGGTGGCAGCCCCCTGGCCCACCCGTCCCCACCCCCCAAGTATATAGGACCAGGGAGCGTTTTGTTTGTACAGACCCCCCCCTCAAGAACTAGAGTTGACACAACTTCAGCTCTCGCTCCATGTAAATCCATGTAAGTGGACAGATACCCACCAGCCTGCTCCATGTAAAGTCATGTAAGTGGACAGATACCCACCAGCCTGCTCCATGTAAATTCATGTAAGTGGACAGATACCCACCAGCCTGCTCCATGTAAATCCATGAAAGTGGACAGATACGCACCAGCCTGTCTCCATGTAAATCCATGTAAGTGGACAGATACCCACCAGCCTGCTGTCCCCCGACCTTCCTCTGGAATAAGGAACAGAGGAAGGGGAAGGAGTAATCTTCACATTTTACATCCCAAGTAATTTTCAAAATATATCTATGCATTTCCTGTACCACTAAAAGTCTTGAACAGTTACTGTTTCAAAAGTAGAATACCATATACACCCTTCCCCCATGTAACAGGGGTAACATTTTTAACGTTCCTTTTTGAAGGCAGGGCACGGAGGCAGAAAGTGCCAAGGCTGGCTCCCAGGGCAGCCTTCCAGGCTGGCACACCTGCTCCTAGCTATGTGACTCTGGGTAGGTTACTTACGAGCTGTTGTTCCTCATCAAGGAACAAAACCCGGTTCAGGCTCATGGTCCGTCCATCTTCCCTAGTTTGTTGTGAAGCAGAAATAGCAAAACAGTAAAGACCAGGCACGTTGGCACGAAGTGTCCCAAGATTGGTCACTATGGCAACGTATCTAAGTGGCCTCTACTAGGCAGAGAAGGCTAGGGGGGAGGAGGGGAGATGAGAACACTCGGGTCAGCACTGAGGAAAGGGACCGGAGTCCAGGCCTTGAAACCACTCACGGAGACCCTGAAGAAAAGAAATGCTCCCTAGAGTTTCATTACAGGAAGGGTCTCATCTCTCTCCTTCAGAGTGACTAGTGGGTTTGAACTACTGACTGGAGGCTAGCAGCCCAACGTGCAGGGCACAGCACCAACAACAGATGCACTCAGGGATGGCAGTGAGTAAACCCACATCACCTCTCTTT